TAGAACAACGCCCTTACAATAGTAGATTCTTCCACGGCTCGTATTCTTATATCATCTCTAGAATTTGGAATCAGTTACCGCCGGCAGCAAAAAATGCAGCAAACGTTCCAGCTTTTATCAATCATCTTAATACAATAAACTTTGGTGGCTGCCAATGCAGTTCTTGTCTTAAATGATTCCTTTACATGTTGTATTTTTATCGTTTTTTAATATTGTATTTTCAACGCATATTTTTTAAGATATTAATAGTATGATAATTTTGTATTTTTTAATATATAGTTTTTAAATCTTTTTTTTAACATGTATGTCAAACACTTTTATCATGAGCCCCTGGCTCGGGAGACTTGGGCAACCACTCCCCGTGTTCTTGACGGAAAATAAATTACCTTACCTTACCTTACCTTTAATAATTAACTCATTAAAAATCAAAATCATTCATCCTAAAAAATTGACTGTACTATGTTAGCTCTTAGCAAACAACAATGAAAAATATCTGCAAAACTATTGCAGGACACCACTGTTGTGTGGACATTTAAACTGAGTAATGAGAAGCCACCAACTTTGTAGATCTATATGGTCTACATACTCAGTTCTCCTCAATTCTAGGTTGGAGATTTATGCTAATATCTAACAGGTCATCACATAGCATCAGGAAATTTTCAGGCAAGAAAATACTTGGTTGTCAGTTAATCTAGAAAGAGAGTACTGTGTTGTTCCAGAAAATATCCTTACCCCTCCTATGGAGGTTTTTATTATCCCCACTTAAAGGAACACTGTCACGAGTTAAGAGTCATTTTTAGCCACGTATAACATTACCTTACCTTTTATAAAATAATACTTTGTTAAGTTACTAAAACACCAATGAGGTAGTGATAAATTAAACCAAAACAATGGAAGGAAGGTCAAGTATGGCAAAGATTAGTTAGCACAGATTACAAACAACCAACTTGACAAATGTACGCTAAACTTTTCAAGATTCATGAAGAGTAATGAAGCTCCTTAAATCCCTCTGGAATTCCAGCTTTGAGACCCGTTTCTGCCTTCAAATTGCCATTAACCCTCCTTGGTGTGGGTATAGATAATTTCTGGAGGCACACATTGTCCCACATAGGGTGTCTATATATTTTACAGTTTCTTTGCCCTTGAGGACGGTGCCTACTTATGTTAGTGCACGTACGTTCTGCGCATCACGCAAGGCATGGTTTAAGCGCAACACATGTGCTGGGGTTGACATTGATGCAATCAACTACCCTATCAAGTACACGACTAAAATGAATGCAAAATTTTCCTACTGTGACCAAATCAAGTTTAATGAACCTGCACTTAAACCAGGAATACCGGAAGAGCAGCACATTGCTAACCACTGACTGTTAATGTCTTCCAGCTGAAAAACTAGCTATCCGTCAAAAATTATACTGAAATCCAACTGTAAATGTGTACCTGCAGATGGCGTAGTGCATGTGCAAAACAAGTGTGAGATGCGTTTTATTTACTGGGGAGGTGGTAGGAAAAAAATGTAATGGGCACCATAAAAGTTTTCAAAAAATATCAATAACATTACAAACGTATGGTTACCCCTATATTTTATGTTATGAAATGGAAGTGGCAAGCCTATTCAACACGTCATTTGTTTCTGGTTGTGAGCAAAAGGTATTTAGACTGTATTTAAGCTGAACCAGAGGAAGGCTGTCTGAGAGACGCTAAAAGCACTTTTGCAACAATTTTGGTATTAAAAGCATACCACAAATGTTTTATATGTTACCATTTACCATGCAGTTTTAAGATCTTTATAATTGTGTTTGCTTTTCTGTACGTAAAGGCGAATTTGAAGGAAATCTGTGAAGAAATATTTCTTCTTTTTTCAGAAAATCCTGATGTCACCGTTTTTGTTGAGATTCAAGGCTAATTATCTCAAAAAATGCGTGGCTACCCCAATTTTTCTTTGTGGATTCCAATAGTCCTTGCAATTTAGATTTACTTTTTCGGTGTGGTCCTAACCTAGCATATTTAGTAGGCACCGTCCTTATTGGGGTCAGGGTGTTAAACTTCTGGTGCAACCCCTATACTCAAGCATTGGTCAGGTACTCCCCCAGAGGGGTTTCGGAGCAGAAAATAGCATGCATTATACAGGTTTCATGACATCACCAATCTAAGGTTTCTTTCTTCATTGATAGGCGTGGACTGTTCTCAGAAAAAAATTGAGAGTACCACCGCCGATGCTTCCTAATTAACTGATCCTCCTTTACCAACAGTGGCCTTGACACATAAGTCTTGTGGTTCCATATCATAATATCACGTTCAAGCTATAAAAAACAGCACATGAATCTGGTTAATGTCAACATGAAATATTGCACTATAACAGTTACTACCACTATTAACTAGTTACAATGCAAAGGCCTTCTACATCTCATGGCGCAACAAGGACTGATAAGTAACCATACAACTTTATCCTGGGAGAGTACAAAATATGGACCGTTCAAAGACATGTTTACTAGAAATTTAGGTGTTCTACAATGCTCATTTTGGGAGTACAAAAGGGGGGGTCCAGTTTGAGGGTCCACATTGTGTCATCCCACTTTAAGCCTTGCTGCTCTGTCAACCCCATTCAAGAGCTGAGGGTGGGTAGTGTTTCCATGGTAACAATAGCCTGCAAGCAGGCTCACCTTTGAGTCACACATGTGAGCGGCAAAGAGGAAAGCGATCAGGCAGGAAGGAGTTTGGTGAAGAGGTGCCAAGAAAGTGAGCCTGCCCTGATCTCTGTAATTTCCTTTCATTTCTGCTTCGTCCGAGTGAAGTGAAATACCATTGGTCGAAAAGCAGGAAAGGTAAGAAAACTGTCAATCTGTTATGTCTGATTAGGAGCGATTAAATCCCCATGGAGTTGGTAATTTACCGCACAATAAAAAACAAGTCATCCACATTTGGAGTCAGCGGAAGAGTTGAGTACGCTTACTACTTATGTTTTAACAAAGTTCCAAACTAAAGAGGGAGCAAGAAAATATATGTTAATGAATCAAGACGTACTTGTCGTGTTGCCGACTGCATATGGGAAGAGTTAAATATTACAAACGTGTGTGATTGTAAGCGGGCAACAAAACAACACAAAGGCATTTGCCCGTTTGCCAGCATAGTCAAAGACCAGATTGCCAAAGCAAGATCACTTCGAATCAAGTTTGTGGCCGTAGTAGACATAAACTTTGACAGTTTTTCTTTGGCAAATCTTTATGAACAACAGATATTGCACCTATATGTTGTTTTCCCAAGAAATCTGAGCTGCCAAAGTTCATACTTCCCATGAAAATTAATTGACTTATTCTTTTCTGCGGTATCTGGGGTGGAAATAAAAAATTTGCAGAGATCAGAGCAGGCTCACTTTCTTGTCTCATGGCTATGCTGCGCATGCTTGTGCTCCAACGTGAGCCTGCGAGCAGGCTATGCTAACAACACCCTAAGCTACATGTAAACACCTTGGCTCTCAAAACCAATCATTCATTCCTTGCTGTCTTTGCTTGTATCTAATGGTCTTCAAAGCAAGTCTCCAGCATAAAATATTTCAAATGATACATAAATCTCAGTTTACATTGATATCATGAAATAACATAGTATTTGGCTAGAATAGGTTTCTAAAAATTTCAACCATACATTTATGCATAATTTTCCATGTTGCCAGCAGCTGGATTAGGTGGCAACTGGATTTATTTAGCGTTCTCGGTTAGTGCCAAGATCAACTGTGATCCAGCCTGCACACTGTATATTGTTATTCTAGCTAACTGGTCCACAGAAAAAAAACTTAGGATTCCTTTGGACTGGATTTAAAGCAGCAAGCTAAGTGTAGTAGACAAATACTGCAGTCTTGGCTTGATTTCCACTTTTCTCTAGAGTCTGGTCTACATTCCTCCCAGAGAAGACTAGACAGTTGTACTGCCATAGTGTTACTCTCATAAAATAAAGTCCTTACTTAGTAAACTACTTAACTTATTAATGGATAATAGACCATACTCGTATTTGCGGTATAGGACTGGACCTAGCTTGCAACTGACACTAATGCAGGGAATCTTTTTAAATTATATGGCATTTGTCTCTTTTAAAATGATATTCCCCACATGAGCCTGCATTGCAAGCTAGTGCCAGTCCAATACCAAGAATACAAATATGGCCTGTTTGCACTTAACACTGAAATGTGAGGCAAACAAGACCTCCTGATTTTATTGCTGCATCGTGTACATTTAGCGTTGTAATCTTAATCAGTATAAGATAATGGGACAGTTATTGAAAATACCTGCAGAGCTTCTGCATAAAGAAAAAATTTGGCAAGAATTGTAGGGACAGTCCAGGATGCATAGAGTGAATGACGCATGATTTGTAACAGTGGTTCTTTTGGAGTGATTGAATGAAGGAAGATTCCATCACCCACAGAACTTCTCCATTTCATAAATACAAGACCTGGCCCAGTCTGTAAAAGAATGAGAAAAACAGACTGTGTAAAACATAACATTTTTGAAGACAAGATTAAATATTAACAAGTTTAACCAAGAAAGCTTTATTTTGGGCAGTTTTGCTTTTCGGGTAAAAACGGGAGTACAGCCTTTAGAAAGATCAGGCCCAAGTTATTACTTAGAGTTAAGAAATCCAGAACCTCTGGCTGGGGAGTTGGGGGGACTCTGATATGAAAAGGTTGGGAAAGCTGACAGGAAAAATTATTTGAATTAAAACCAGATAGGAGATCAATCTGGGTGTGGCTTGAGCTTTATTTGACCCCTAAAAGATACCACTTAAAATGGAATAGGCTTGATTACCAGCTGCTGCTCATGAAACGAGCCTACGCTGCTAGCTGGTAGACCAGACATGAGAGACCGGTGAACATTGAGCCTAAAAACAGAGTTTCTTTATTATGTACACCCCTATAATATCTATGACTTGCTGGCGCGTGCTTTGTGCAGACCCTACAATTCACTTGATGCCAGAGAAACCAGAATCCTCTATGGTACTGACATTTCTTCATTAATGACAGTCCATTTCATCTCAGGGAAACAAGCATTGATACAGTCATTACCTCTACAATAAGCACCTTTAGCCAAAGACACAGTCATTATACCTCATTTTGGCCAGGGTTGACATTAAAAAGGTTCAACTGTTTTCATCTTTATAATTTTCACAAATTAGTGTTAAATTTCTTAAACTGAATTGAACAGAGAGCTGCTGGATAATAATATTATCTATCATGCAAATATCGACAAGAATCAGTGCATAGATTATCAGAACATAATACAAACCTGCCTGGCTGTTAAATGGAAGTCAGTGTATGGTATTATGTATCCAAAGATTGACAAGACATGTGTCAACCTCAAGTATCCAACATGCTTTTCATCATTCTCCAGTGGTTTCCACTCAGCATGCCACTTGTGTTTTCCAAACTGCTCCCACCAGCTAGACAAGCTGTATCTTAGATCAGTACCTGAGATAATAGGTGAGCTATGAAGATGACCAAGGTGGGCTAAATCTGATCCATTTTCTGAAGTATCCTTCATAGGTTGTGATAAAAAAAAAATTGTAAAAATAAAATAAAAAGAAAGACACCCCAAAACATAAATGTGTTGTTCCATAAATGTGTTGGTTTTTAAACTGCCTCCGTCCCTCTGTAAATTCCAGTTTTGGTTCTTTCATTAACAAATTTGGCTTTTGAGATCCTAGCTTCTAAGACCTCTAGTTTTTTGGAAGTTCCAATAACTCTTGGGGTGGGTACGAAAATTTTCTGGAATCTGGAAACAGACATCATAATTATGCAGATTCTCTCTCTTGTTAAACCGCTGGCCAACACGATTTCCCCAAATCCTTTTCAGCGCCAAATGAAGCTTACGATAAAGACAGCTGTCATAGTGGGTCTCAATAAAATGCAGACAAGATGGCAGCAGATGGCAGCAGATGGCAGTTGGTGGATGGAAAAATGCAGATGATAAAACATGGATGGAAAAATGCAGATGGAAAATTGCAGATGGAAAAATGTGGATGAACACATGTGGATGGAAAAATGCGAATGACAATTTGTGGATGATAAAATCTTGATGAGGGGTATTAACTACTATGTTGATTGGTCTCTTGGTGCCAGTCGACTTTCACTATTTTAGGTAGGGAGAAGTGGCGTATCTGTCAACAGAATTCAATTGTCACAGTAAGAATACTGTTGTTTCCTCTGATGGCTGGCAGTGGAAATATTTGTGAGATTAATGCTCTTTTGGTATGCCAAAGAGAAGAATAAACTTTTATCGACAGAAAGAGTTATGGTACATGTACGGTTTACGATTAAGACTTTTATCTTTTGGATGGATTCAATATCCTGAATTATTTTTGCCATCATTTATTTTTGTCATTTTATTCACACATTTCCTTTCTGATATAGCAAGATAGTAAATTATTTAGTTTTGATCTGGTGAAACCATTAAAACGTACAAGAAAAGCTTTGTCCCGGAACACCTATGTGCAGTTAGGAATTGAAGTGTACTTTTTAATATCTTTGGGAAAGATTTCTAAATCAGGTTTTTGTCAGATTCCCACACCATGACACAGGGACTATTCAGGTATAGTGGAGCACATTCGGTTACTGTAGCTGCATTTCATTTGACAAGGTCTGTGTTCTGCAGTGGAGATTTTCCTAGGCGTAGACAGTGAAGGTCCTTCAATGTAGTTGTAAATAAATCAGGCCATCTTATAGAATTTAGGCCAGGAGAAGTCCAATATCTTTTATTCAATCACAAAACAGACCCAAACATTTTTACACCGGCCAAATATAGAAAAACAAACGGAAAGCCTTGATTGAATAATAACAGACTAGACTTTCCTTTTGTCATCAGACTCCAGTTTCTTTCAGTACTTAAGGACTGTAAGAAAACATCCTAAGTTAATTTTCCCTCAACTTCATAAGGATTTATCATCTGCATATATTGTCATTCACAATTTTCCATTCCCGTTTCGCCATCATTTTGCCATCCTCATTTTTCCATCCTCATTTTGTCATCCACATTTTTCCAACTGCCATCCACCACCATCTGGTCCATGTTTACAGACCCAGTCATAGTGCATGTTCCTTGGTTTCAGTAATTATGATTGACTGTTTGTTTTTGCACATAAAGCAAACAGAGGCATCAACACCATAGCAATATTTGTAGTGAAACAAAAATGTGTTATCATCCTGCTTTCCATAGTTTCGACTGTATAAATTTTGTTAATGCTAAGTATGTAAACTATTTAGTTTTAAAATTTTTGCACCACTGTGGACAGGAAAAAGATGTAGAAAGTAACATGCACAACTCACTTTACTTTGTGCATCTTTTTTCCTGTCCGCAGTCGCACGGAAAGTCTAAACCTAAATACGCACTACATTAACATAATATATGCAGTCAGAACAATGTACAAAGTTAAGTGCCAGAGACTGTTACACACACATGACAATTATCACGTTTCCCAAACCGAAATGAAACATGCAATGCGTATTAGGAACGAGTAGAAGACAAATAAACTACCCAATAGTACGCAGGTCTTCGAAATTTAGAACAGGCTACTTTAGAAAGGCGTCGATCACATAAGTGTGCTAATCACCTGATGTGCGTGATGATACGACCTAAGAACTGGTCAACAGAAAAATACATCAGCTCAGAGAAATTTGATCATGATGCTTTTAATTACAATATGGTGAGGATATCTTTACGGTGAACTCTGCTACTCTAAAGAAATCAATCCCAAAAAGGAACACAGTTTGAACAATACAATTTACCTCAATGTGTGCATTTATCGTGTGCTGTGTAAAGCCCCTGTATGTCCAAGTTCCATTGCTGATCTCTTCAATATCATCAGGTGTCCAAGTGGGTTCGATCCCCTCTGCATGATACCAAATGTAAATGGTAGAATTCTTTTCTACGCATGGCCATGCTTTGATTCGTGCACAATCAGGAATTTTATCACTGTACGGAATTTTAGCACATTTTCCGTCCTCCCCGCGGAAAACCCAACCGTGGAATGGACATTGTAGGCAGTTCCCAACAACCTGGCCTCCAATTCCTAAATTTGCTCCCAGATGCGGGCAATATGCATTGACAATATACGCTACACCATCAGTTCCTCTAAACACAGCAAGATGCTCTCCTAACACGGAAATATATTTAACATCACTCACTGCCAGCTCGTGTGAATCGAATACATGGAACCATCCATTCGGATAAACAGGTGGAATGTCGCCGCACCTCTTCCGCTTTCGATATTCGTTCGCTACGTCTTTTAATGATCGCTTCTCTTCCGACACATAGCCAATCTCGTGGAGTTTTCGCTTCATTTCTAAAGGAGTAAAGAATAACTTCCAAAGTTTCAACATTATGTAGCCGAGTGGTAGAGAACATGCTGCAAGAAGCCAGGAGTTTAAGTTTTGCACCGTAGTCGCAAACAGCGGTAAAGTCGTGCCCCAGACTGAGTGGGAAAAGTCGTGTAATTTTAAAAGCATTGGCGATGCTGCTGCAACAACGGCTAAGAAAAGACAGGAGCAAAGCAGTTTAGAGGACGCCATTCTTGATTGGCAAGATTCTCAAACTACACTTGTCCCAGTTGTTCAGCTCGACACAAAGAAAGCTATCTGATAGGATGATGGATTTCGAACGCATACATAAATAATCAACGTAAATAAACCGCCAAAAAAAAAAATTATCATTCGTGAAAAAAAAAAGAGCAACGTTGGAACATAATTTATGCATTGCACCCCTCTAGGCATGGCACTCTATTCGGTATTTTTACATCCATGGTTACATTCCCAATGGGGTGATGCAATGTTTTTTTGTTTTTTTTCGCACGGTGCCACCTTTTATTTACAAAAAGTAGAAGCAGACATTATTTTAGAAGGAAGATTTTTACCCGCACAAGCTACAATAGATGATAATTGCTTTTTCATCACAAACGTCTACGCCCCAACCGATTATTGTGAGAAGACTACTTTATACCCAAATTAAGGGAACAATTTCTAGCAAACACAGATACCTCAAAATTAGTCATTTCAGGAGACCGAAATAAAAGCCCTCACTGGGGGTATCGAATGGTCTTTGCGCGCATTTGCGAGCATGGGAGCAGTGCGTTTATTTTTGCGAGCACGAGCAGTGATCAAATTTGCCTTGCGAGCAGCGAGGACTTTAAAAAAGTTAAGTTAAAAATTTAACACACGCAACCGATAATAACTGTATTGCCAAAACCTGTTTTCTCTTTTTCAGTTCCACTCAAATCGTTTCAATTTCTACGCTCAATTTAAATCCCAGATAGTTCTTCTTCTTTAGTTTGGGATTAATTTCACAGCAAAACTACAAACAATTTTGCAATGAATATTTTAGCGACAGTGGACACAGTAGCGACTAACATTATTTCAAAAATTGCGGTCACAAAAAGCCGTTATTTGAAACATTTTCAATCCAAAGCAAAACTAAAACAANAAAAAAAAAAAAAAAAAAAAATGTGAATAAATACTTACGATGTTTCTTGAGTCACAATTTACTTGTTTTGCTGGTGTTTTATCATATTTTGCTTCTTGGAGCGTTTATGAGGCAAGTTACCCTGGCGCTAAGGGAGCCCTAGGCTACCCTAGAGCCATGGTAAACCTACCTGCCTTATAAACACGTACATGAAAAAAAACAAAAACAAAAACAAAAATGAGAAATGTGGGAGTGCTAGGGTAACCATAGCACTAGGGAGGTAGGAGGTAGGAGGTAGGAGGTAGGAAGTAGAGTTACCCTAACACTAGGATTACCCTACCTCCTGACGTTGTGAACACACCACGAGAAGTTAAAAGCTCCCAGACTTAACGGAGTTGTGATATAAAAAGTATGTTTTTGGGTTACATAATTCTTAGGAAATGTACACAACGTGGCATTTAGTTTGCCAAGCATTTCGAGCTTCGGTCTCGATGATCGGCAAACCGTGTCAGTTCCCACTGATTGACTGAAAAAGATTTAACGCAATGAAGCTTCATTTGGAGGCATCCATGATCTAATCAGTTGCAGCCATACAGCTTGGACAGCCTCTGACAGGCTCTGAAGGTCAAATAGTAATAGTAATATTCTTCATGTCATCATGACTCTAGATTACTTTCATCCATTTGCGGGGTGCCTTTCACGGATAATTCTTACGCCTGTCAGTTTCAATAAAACAAGGAAACATGTCTCCAAAAACATTCATATAGCGCTTGCATGTTTCCCCAACTTTTCCTTGTTTTGTTTGCAAGATGCAAATTATTCTTCTGCTACACGGCAGAGAATTTTTACAAAAATCCGAGCATGCGAGCAGTTGCAAAAATTTCGCGAGCACGACCAAGAGAGCACACATCTAATTTTTGCGAGCAGTTCGAGCAAAGGCCAAATTTTGCGAGCATTTTTAAATTAAATAGGACCATTCGATAATCCTCTCACTCACAAATCTTTGGTTGGCTTCAGAATCTATCTTTCTGTTATTTAATTTTTACATGTCTAAACTTGTTTGACTTTTCGAAGTTCTTTCTGGGTATTCCCTCGTTTAGTGCGGAACTCATCGTAGTTTAAAAATTTGGATTTAAAGAAGTCTAAAAATTTGGAAGGGTAATCATCTTCGGATTAGTGGCAGTGCATTTGTGATCTGTTTGACTGTTCATTTGGAGTTTAGTGCCAGCCTTGATACTTGTGAACTGTAAAGTTATTTGATGTCCAACGATGGGAATTGCTGATACAGAGATGTTCTTCAAGTTTCCGTAAGAAGCGATCGTGGGCAATGTTTTCTTGTGTCGGGCGGACCTTTAGAGCAGAAACGTCCAAGGCTAAGGTCGTAGTCTCGAGGCACTCCAAGTCAAATTTGACGGCGTTGTTCGCGAGACATTAGAAATTGCTGGAAGTTGCTATTGAAAATTTCCGTTCCTTCGAGCAAAGGAAATGACTTTTTGAGTAGATTGGAGCTAATTCACCTCATACCTAGGCTAAAAATGTCCAAAATGTCCAAAAAATGCGTTTTTGCCAAAAAGCTCCAGGTGTCATTGGGTTATTTACCTAGTTCTGCGCTCATGATCCCACAGGTACCCTGCAGTGCTGAATTACTTTGGTGAAATAGGTCATAAACTATTGATTTTTTTTTCTAAGTATATTTAACAAAGCTTAAATATTCCGAACGAATTTCTTTCTTTTCTCTGTCACTTTGCATGAAGATAAACTTTGTTGATATTAAAGAAAATCTAAAATGTTATAATTGTCTTGGTGCACGTTTTATTTTTTGCTCGCGTTTGATTCCTATTTGAAAACTAACACCTTTTGTATACAATTGATCTTTTAATCTAGCTCAACAGTCAACTTAGCCTTCTCATACCGATATTGCTGGGCAGCCTTATCATTACCACGGGTGGCACTGAGGAAGATGTTGCGGCCAGGTGAAGGAAGGCACAAGCTGCTTTCTCCATATTAACGGACCAATATGGAGATTAAAGTTCACTGATCTCTCTGTACACGAAGATAAGGATCTTTAGCTCCAACGCGAAGTCAGTTTTGCTTTATGGATCCGAGACCTAGAGACAAGCAAAAAAGATTATCGCCCAACTGATTGTTGTACCTCATGTGTTACATTATTTGAAACTGTATGAACAAGTACAGTCGAACCTCTACTAGGCGGCGCCCTATAAAGCGGCCAGCCATTATTTGGCGGCCAGCGGCCAAAGTCCCGGTAAAATTGTCAGCTATACAATGTAGTAAAAACCTCTATTAAACGGCCACCTCTATTAGGCGGCTGCAGCCAGCTTATTGCCGTCCCAAGCGTGATTTTGTTTTGTTTCATTCCTCTTTTAAACAGCCAGGAAGATTTGAAGTTGGACGTTTTTAGCCAGATCGATGAAGGTAAAAGAATGACAATATGGAATTCTGTAAAAACACATTTTCAGCCGTATTTGATTAAAACAGTCACAAAACAAAGTCTCGAAGCGTTTTAGTTTGTTTGTACAGCACACGAGCCAGTGTTGGATTGACAGACACGTCGCGTCTGTAAGCGTAATTGTTTCTTTGGCTTTCGTTAACGTTATGGACCATATTATAACCATCATATATTGTTCTACTTTTTCTCCACTTTCATTTGTTTGTACCTATATTTGATAAACTGAAAACTGGGCCACGCCCAACGTTGTTTTCGCGTGAACCTCTATTAAACGGCCTCCTCTGTTAAGCGGCCAGTTGTCTCGTCCCCGACAGTGGCCGCTTAAAAGAGGTTCGACTGTAACTGATACTGTGTGATCGTTTAATACAGGTCAAGACAATAGAAAAAGTACCGTTGGGACTTCGCAAATAGTGACCGCGACCTCTTAATAGAGGTGACAGGTCAAAATTACAGTAATTAAGGGAAGTAATTTCGGGACTTTGAAAACTGACCGCTTAATAGAGTACAATAGAGGGTGACCGGTTAATACGGTGCCGCTTAATACAGGTTCGACTGCATACGACATTGTGTCAGCCTTGTGGTAGTCTTTAATAATTCTTGTAACTACTCAGCTCGTTTAGTTTTTACTATTTTGAGTAGTTTTTTTGCTTATTTAAGTTTAATGTATTCTTTTGCTGAGTGATATTCTATGTATCATGCAAAATAAAATGGTTGTTGTTGTTGACTTCTCATCGTTTTACTTTTCGAGTTTGGCTGATTAGATCTCCTGCGAATGGAATTTTTTTATGGGAATTTAAGGTAATTCCATCGAAATAGAACTCACAATAGATTCAAACTTTACCTGTTGGCTGCTTATATCAAGAGAACTTAATAATTTGAAATAAAAAAGGGGGGGTCCCCATATTCGTTTAGGAGCAGGAGGACCTTCAATAAACCCCATAATTCTGTTTTCAGAAACGGTTATATTTGAACCATTCACCTTACGCTTTAAGAGAGCAGAAAAATAGACACCAAGTTAAGCGAGAAATACAAGAACGGATGTATTGCATAAATGTTAAGGAGCAATTTGATGTACGTTTCACAATAAGGGCACTCATATTTAGTCGACAGGGATACAATTTGTTCCAAGCACGCAGTGTTCTGGGGCCACATATTATCTTTTACGAGCGCTTTCTATGCTCTCATTTTTCTTGATAATTTTTTACTCTGCAATAGGAATTGGACCATATTCACTGTATGGAAAGAAGGTGATCTTTCCATTCAAACTAAATAAAAAAATCGTTAGGCCCCGGTACTCGTTTCCGAGGAAAAAACTACGATTTGTCTCTCGCAAGCCAAGCCGTTTAGAAAAAGTCACCATTTAATTTTGTATCTGTTGTGTATGTGCACGCGCTCGTGAGCGCGCGCTAATTGTATATTGCTCATGTCTCAAAAACTATTGCCTATACAACTTTATATACATATAGGACCCTGCGTGCGCTCTGATTGGTCGAAAACCCATATTTTATCAGATTCTTAAACATGGAAAATGCGAGTTTTATTGTTTTTCGCCACATTACCTCTATATCATAAAGCAAATGAAGAAGACTAAGCCGTGTATTACACTGTGATAAATTACTCCGGACATTTGAGGAAAACACTCGCCTTCGGCTGGTGTTTTCTACATTACATTGGCTAGGCGCAAAGATCGCAAGGGGCTGGTACATGACTGTTCTCTTTATCTTGTCTTTTTCCTTTTTTCCATAAGAAAGAGAAAAGTTCTAAAAATATTTGGTTTGTAGCCAGGCATGGTAAAAAATTTGATAAAAATAAGTCGTTACATTCCGAGTATTGATATTCTTAGTGTTGAAGAAGCCCGAATGGGCGAAACGTCCACTT